ATCATTGAAGTTTTACGAATTTCCTATTTAAAATGATCGGCATGATCAGCAGAATATTCTGGAATCGATTCCAAATTGGAAATACCCCTGACTGTAAAATGTGAGGCTCTTTACAAAACCGTATTAATAATTAGTAAGCTCAGTGATACGAAAAATGTGGTTTATTCCAGATGTTCGAAATGTCTCAACGGTTCATAGTGAAATTGATATATCGATATACCGGAACCATCCCGTTACGGTCAAAATATCCGGTATGGCAAAAAAATTTTGATGTACCCGATTTTATGTCATGTAAATCACATGAAAATCCGTTGTGATAAATTTGTAAAATTTAAAAAAGTTTCTCGATTTATATGAGAATTAAGTTATCATTAGTAGTAGTTTCTAACTTTCTCCAAACTTTATAGAAATAAACGGTAAATGATAAAAAAAAAAAAAATATTACAGTATATATTTGCACCATGTGCAATAATCCTTTTGGTTCTCAAATGAAAATTATCACGTGATAAGTCATATCAAACCAATTTTTTAAGTTTAATCCCCGGTATATCGAATTTCACTGTTCTGTGTATTGATAAAGGTAAAAATCATTATTCGTTTATAAACAGATGCTATAAACTGAATATATCATTTTAAATGAAAACAATATTAATGTGTTATAATAATTATTTAAAAAGAAAATTATACTAATTTTAGTCTGGCAATCTTTATTATTAATGATAATCTAAATTCGAACTTTTTTTTTCCGAAATATAAAAAAAAATAAATTCGCACATTTATAAAGACATCATTTTTTTCATTATTTAAAAAATTAAAATCATTTTTTTTAAAAAAAAAATTTAAAAAAATTTAAACCATTTTTGCGATGTATCAAATAATTTTAGGATGCATTCTAGTGGCAACGTTATACATTTTAAAACGTTCAAGTAACCCAAAATTGGTATGGAACATTTTTTTGAAGGACTTTATTTTTTATTTCTAAATTTTCTCTTATTTTTTATATTAGAATATGCCTCCACTAGTTCGTTATAAAGTTCCGATTATTGGTCATACTTATAGTTATTTATTTGATTGCGAAGATTTCTTTAAACAATGTAGAAAGGAGGTTGGTTACTAACAAAAGAGTTTCTCGAAAAATTTCCTGCGCCATATTCACAAATTTTGAATTTTATCGTTTAGTACGGTGATATCTTTAGCATATATATATGGGGTCAAGTTAGGACCATTGTTGGTAGGTTCGAAGTTCTTAACTTCAACTAATTCATAATATGCTCACAATATATAACAAGAGAAAAATATAAACATTTCAATGCGTAACAAATCCTTGATACTGTACTAAACATATAGGAAAAGAACATATACATGAAGTGTTAACGAGAGATGATACATTTGACTTGGGAAAAGTGTTCAGAAAGAAAATTCCAGGAGATGCAGATTTTGTAAATGGATTCGCAGAAATTAAAGAAAATTCAATGATGGTTAAGGATCATATCACGAAAAAATTAGAATTATATACCGAACGCATGCAAAAAAGTCTTCATATGGGTATACAAAGAAATATCGGTGAATGTGAGGAACCGAAAGTTCTTAATCATTTGTACTATCTTTTAACTAAAGTTATCGCAACCCCTATTGCAAATATTTTTATTGGCGAAGTAATCGTTTGAGTTAATTTTCTCTTTTTATTGTTTTAGAAAAAAAAAAAATGCAAGAAATTCTTATAAATTTTATTATTTCTTATTTTCTTATTGTACTTTAGGAAGTAGCAAAGAGTGATGAGGTTATAAAATGTTTTTCAGAACTTACAAGTGATTTGACAATATTTTTTGCAATACCGCCATTTCTTGATTTTATTTATCCAGGACTTCAAGATTATGTTAATCATATTCCAATTAGGTTAGGATTATATGATCCATCTGCTTTACGACGAGATATATTATTTAAACATATAAAAAATCAAGTTGATAAACGATTACAAGAGAGAAAAAAGTATCATGATTCGTGGAAACGTCCTAATGATTTACTTCAGGACTTTATAGAGGATAAAATGTTTGATACTAATAACATTAACTACAATGCGATAGCTAATAAAATGGCCCTTTTCATCTTCGTATCGATCCATTCAACATCGGGTGCTTGTACAAACGCTCTTATCGATTTGGCATGTCGACCTGAATATATGCAAGAACTATATGAAGAGCAATTAGAGGTTCATAAGGAAGCAGATAAAAATGGTATCCTTCCACTTAAAGCACTTGATAAAATGAAAAAATTGGATAGCTTTGTTAAAGAATCATTAAGGCTAGTTGGTGATATAACAGGACTTACACACATTACATTAAAAGATTATACATTTTCAAATGGATTTCAAGTACCTAAAGATCATATAGTTGAATTATATTTTGATGATATTTATCAAGATGAAACTTTTCAAGGACAAAATCCGAAATCATTTGAACCATTTAGGCACTTGAATAAAGGATCTCCGGCAACCAAAGTTAGTAGAGCTTATGTGACGTTCGGAGGTGGTAAACACGCGTAAGTATCATGTTCAATTTGATTTTTTTTTTTTTTTTTTTTTTTTTTTTTTTTTTTTTTTTTTTTTACAAATAAGTATAGTGTAACTAACGATTTTAAACTACATAGATGTCCTGGAAGATATTTTGCGATCAATGAAATTAAATTTTTTATGCATTATATGATATTAAATTATAATTTCCGTACAGAAAGTGGTAATATTGAAGAAAAATTGAAACTCGGACCGATGACATTTCCGAGTGCTTGTGGAGTTATTTTCGAAAAGAGAAATGCTACTAATTGAACAATTAGTTTACTTCAATAATTTAATTTCGATATAATTTTATTGTTCTAGTTTATTTCAAAATATTTATATTTGTAACAAATTTAAGATTAATTATCTCTTCATTGCGAAATAAAAAAAAAATAAATAACATTTAAAAACGATCACAAATTAAAATTTGTTAATTTTCTTCTATAGGAACAATTTTAAATAAATAAATCAAAATATTAGATATTAAATAAGATAATTATTCAGACATGACCTGTATATTGGAAATAAATAAACTTTCACAATATTAACTTACGATAAAGTAGAGAGACAATTGCTAAGCTGTCATATTATTTTCAAAGAATCTTTCACAGATATAGGATCTGATTTTCTCCAACTTCCATCAACTGGCATAAATTCCAATCGACCATCGATCCATGTTGCAGAATATACTTTAGCAAATCTTCCTTCATAAATTTTTATTAATGCTAGTAAATACTCGTTGTCTACGTCAACAGTTGATTACACTTCAGATATCGGTGCTGCATATCAATATAAACACAATGGTTTCACTATGGAAATATTATTTCTTGTGAATCACGTGACGCTACTCAAATATCCGAAAAGGAAGCTCGTGTAACCGATTTTGATACTCGAACTCTAATTTTACTGGGAGACAAAATTGCCTTTTGTATTGTGTAACGTATCACGATTCTATGATTAATTTATGTAGGGTAATCTAAAAGTGACACCTAGTGACCGTCAACGTATTTAAATATATGGATACCAAAAGGCAATTTCTTCATGCTATTACATCCATTTTTTTAAAAAAATACTTTTGAATAAATTAATAAAAGTATATAAAATACTTATTTTTAATTAGCAACAAAATTAGAATTTAGAGGAAAGTAGTGAAATGATAACGTAATCTATTACTGCGGTAATTTAATTTCTGATCCAACACTTTTTTTTAAATTAATTTAAGGCAACTTATAGTAACTTAAATCTTTAGATAAGTATATAGGATACAATTGTGGTTTGCTATTAGTCATTAATTTTAATTGCAAATGACCTAACCTAAAACAATAAGCAAAGATTTTATAATCAAACGTTAAAACATTTCGATTTATTTAATTTTTAATTTAATAAATGTTTATTTCTTTATAATATAATTATAGAATTCAAATAACATACACTCCCCGGTCAAAAGTATTGGACCAAAAAAAAAGTTATCGCAACTTTTAAATTTATGACTAATTTTAATT